TGAGTGTGTGTCAGGGGGGAGGATTAGATTGTAAGGCGGAGGGATGTGGGGATAGTGGACATGGGATATAATATGGTTTTTGTTTTAGATTTTTAATTAGAAAAAAAGACGCTGCAGTCAAAAATACATTCACGTTTATCGCTTTCAAAGTGAATAATAAATCCTTTAAATTCAGTTTTAAACTTAATTTAAATGTCTTTTTCCTTACCTTCCGCTCGGTCTCAAAACTGACGATGCGGTAATACTTGAGGCCCAGCGCCGAGTAGAAGCGCTCCACGACCCCTAGAGGGGTGCAGATACTGACCAGAGAGTTGGTCACTTCCGCCAGCTTCTCGACCTCCGGGATGACGGCGTCCTTGACCTGTGAGTGCGCGTGGATGGTGTCTAGGTGAGTGTCCACCCACTCACGCACGTCCGTCTGAGGGTAGAAAGTGTTGGAAAGTCAAGTAATTATGATGGAACATTATACAGCCGCCCATCCATTCATTCATCCATCCATCCATCCATCAATCCATCCATCCATCCACCCATCCATCCACCCATCCATCCACCCATCCATTCCCCCATTCATCCACCCACCCACTCACGCACGTCTGTCTGAGGGAGGAGAGCGTGGTAAAGTAAAGTAGTCATGATGGGCCATTATAAGTACCCATCTTCAGAGTTGCATAAGGAATACTTTAACGGTACAGACACAGTGGATCATCCTTTCCTCCCCTTTCGCCTCCTCAAATATGTGAGGAAAGGAAGGCGAATGGGTTGGGACATGACGCACCAGAGTGGATTCGCCTTTCTTCACTTCCCTTTTTTTGCTCCGATCTAAAGATGACAGCTTTCAAGTTGATCTTCTTGTACTGGTTGAAACGAAGACGTCAAAATAACCGGTCCCACCAACTTCTGCAACTTTTCCCCAATCTCGCAGTTACATCATTTCTGTTGTAATAGTACATGTCTGTCTTGTCATAAAGGGCAGGTCTTTTTTCTACAGATGTGATCAATATTTCTTAGTCCATAATTTCTAATTCAGTTCTAATTTGTTGAGTTAGTTTAGTTTTAGTAGAGGTTTTACGCGCTCGCAACCGCATAAGGTCATATAAGTGCCGAAGGGTGTTTCAAGGGAGTAACAAACACAAAAAAGAAGGAGGGGAGAAAAAGACGACAGATGTTTGATAGGAAAGAAGAAGCAAAACACACCAGAGCATCCGCCAACCACCCTTTACCTGCAGTTTCGCCACAAGCGCGTTCGACAGATCCCTCTGAGGTGAGCCGATGGACTCCCACAAGTCGAGTTCTAACAGATGCTGGGCGATTCTGGAGAGAAAACGAAACAAACAAAAATAAAAAATACACCAATGTGAACTTTCTTTAATTAGTTATCTATGCGATGCTGGGAAGAAAAGTTAACAAACAAAAATATAAAAAAAAATACACCAATGAGAACATTTCTTAATTATCTGTGTGATGCTGGAAGGAACAGTAAACCAAAATTATTTTTTTAAATACACCAATGTGAACTGGCCTTAATTAGTTATCTGTCCACAACTGATTCACAATGAGGGATGTTAATTAATAAGGAGTAATGTAATGAATGTTGTTTTGGAATGTACAAATGGGAATGAACTATGTTGCGAGTGTTGCAATAACGATTCTTTGATGTCACGATTATTTCCCCTCCTTGACACGTCTCGTTTTGAATTCGAGATCTCATTTTTTTTGTAAAAGAAAGACAATAAACCAGTTTTATTTTCTTTTTTTCTGGTTTTAGTAGAGGTTTTACGTCGCTCGCAACTGCATAAGGTCATATTATGAGCGCCAGAAGATTAGAGGTATTACAAGAGAGTAACAAACATAAAACAGAAGGAGGGGAGGTAAGGACGATAGATGTTTGATAGGAAACAAGAAGCAGACCACACTAGAGCACCCGCCAACCACCCACAACCAGTTTTCTGGCAGGTAGGTGACGTAACAGGTTGTTGTTTAGTCTTCTTTACAAGTGTCAATCCTTGTATAATGTGGTGCAATATGCGGCCGTCACATAGTAGTTTAGTGGGCGGTAGGCGGGTGAATGGAGTGGGTAGCTTCTTCTTTCCTGTCAAACAATAAGTCGCTTCAAAGCGCAAGGGGGCTATCCCGAAAAATGCTTTTTTGAGAAAAATGGAAAGAAAAGTTTTTGCCCCTTGTTCAGTTTTTTTTTTAAAGACAAGGAGAGTTTTCTCTATAACCAAACAAATATACACACCAATGAAACCAAACTTCTCCTATAGGTAGGGCAATGCCCACTTTTGGTGTAGGTCAAGATTTCTGGGAACCCCTGAAATCTGGGGTAGCCCGCTTGTCTTTAAAAGCGACCAATTATCGTCCGCGTCTCTCTTGTTTCTGTTTGTGTTTGTCACTGTCTTGTAACATCTCTATACTTCGACACTTATAGATTCTATAATAACCTTATTGTGTTGTAAATGCTGTAAAATGCTTACTAAAAACTAAAACTTGTTTTGCAAATACCGTAAAACTCTTACTAAAACTGCAAAGTAAAAGAAGAAGGACATTTACATAATCTTATTGTGTTGCAAATGAAGTAAAACTCTTACCAAAAGTGAAAGTCAAAGAAGAATGGCACTTACACAATCTTAGACGTAAGAAGGGAAGACCAAAGATGACATGGAGGCGAGCGGCACAAGCGGAAATTGAAAAAGCGAGGACATCAAGGAAACAGATAGAAAAGGAGGCTCAGGACAGGCTTCGCT